TATTATTTGTTATTTTCACTAGCTTTACCCGCCACGCGTTGCTATGGCCAGCCTTCTCTCCCTCTTTCTCTGCTTCTTTCACTCCTTCCTTCATTCCGTTTTCTTCTTTCCTTTCTTCCTTCTCTACCTGTTTACTTCCTTCCTTAGCTGTTTGCTTTCATCCTTCCTTCTCCTTATTTCTTTCCTTCCCTGCGTCTTTCTCTCCTTCTTTCTCTTTTTCCTTTGCTGCGTCTTTCCTCCCTTCCCTTTTTTCTTTCCTTCTCTCCTCCTTCCTTCTGTACCTCTTTCCTTCCTCCTCCCTTTTTCTTTTCCTTCCTCTTTGTCTCCTTTCTTCCCTCTCTTTCTCTTTCCTTCCTTCCTTCGCTCTGTAGTTCCATACTTCCTTTTCTTTCTTTCTTTCTTTCTTTCTTTCTTTCTTTCTTTCTTTCCCTCCCTTTCTCTTCTTCATTTGCTTTCTTTCCTCCCTTGCCTTTTTTCTTTTCTTCTCTCCTCCTTCTTTACCTTTCCTCCTCCCTTTTTTCTTCTTCCTCTTTTCTCCTTTCCCCTTTTTTCTTTCCTCCTTCCTCTTTTTCCTACTTCTTTTCTTTCTTTCTTTCCCTCCCTTCTCTTCTCATTTGCTTCTTTCCTCCCTTGCCTTTCTTCTTTCCTTCTCTCCTCCTTCGTTCTGTACCTCTTTCCTCCTCCCTTTTTCTTTTCCTTCCTCTTTGTCTCCTTTCTTCCCTCTATTTCTCTTTCCTTCCTTCCTTCGCTCTGTAGTTCCATACTTCCTTTTCTTTCTTTCTTTCCTTCCTTCCCTCCCTTTCTCTTCTTCATTTGCTTTCTTTCCTCCCTTGCCTTTTCTTCCATCCTTTCCTTCGTTCCTACACCTTCCCTTCTGCTCCTTTCTTCTTCCTTCCTTCCTTTCTCCCTCCCTTCTTTCCTATGCTCCTACTCTCTCTTCTTCTTCCTTTCCTTCCTTTCTTCCCTCATATACTTTCCCAACTTCTCCTTCCTTCCTTTCTCCCTTCTTTCCTATGCTCCTACTTAGGCTTGGGTAACCACGGAAAAATTTGGTTCTAAACTCGTTTTGTTTTTAGGGGGCCCTTGCATTTCGTTTTTTTTAAATAATTCCGAAATTTTCCTTTAAAAAATTTCAAAATTTACGAAATTTCGTAAAATTACGAATCGATTCGTTAATGGCGGACGCGATTGCGCAATATGCTAAAAAAACCTCCAAATGGGACAGGGGGAACTTCTGAAGCTTCCCTCTCCCTCTGTTGTTGACTGTTGGTGTGATAAAACAAACAACAACTATAAAACTTGCACCAGACATGCGAAAATAATTACGAAATAATTACGAAATAAATTGGAAAAATTGTTTCGAATCTTATTACTCCTCACACTATTCCTGCATGGCTCAATATTGGATCGTAAGCTAATTTAAATACGAATTAATAACGAATTACGAAATTAACGAACTAAACCGCCCAAGCCTACTCCTACTCTCTCTTTCTTCTTTCTTTCCTCCCTTTCTTCCCTCATATACTTTCCCAACTTCTCCTTCCTTCCTTTTTTCATACACCTTCCCTTCCCCTTCCCTCCTTTTGTTTATTTCCTACCTTTCTTCTCTGATATACCTTCCTTCCTTCCTTCCTTCCTTCCTTCCTACACCTTCCCTTCCCCATCCCACTTTTCTTCTTTCTTTCCTTCTTTCCTTCCTTCCTTCTTATTTACACCCCTTCCCCTCATTTCCGTCCTTCCTTCCCTCACCCGCTTCCTTCCCTCCTTCCCCTGCGCATGCTCCGTTTAGCTGTGTAATTGTGAGTTTGTTGTTGTTTTTTTGAGTTGTGATGAGTGTTCTGCATACCTTGTGGTTTGAGGTATGCGTACGCCAAGTTTGGTGATTTTTCATCCGGGGGTTTTCGCGTTTTGCGCCCCCTAACGACGCCCTTCTGGATTTTATATATATAGATGATTTCCGTTATTTCTACCCCGTCTCTTCTCTACTCAGGACGGCTTACATTTGGCAACGATTCGATGCCACTACATATAAACAATTGTAATAATACAACAACAATTAAAATACATAAACTATTAATTAAAACAGGACATAAACCATTAATTAAAACAACAATACAGTATCATCAGCTGTCTATCTCTTGGCTCGCTATCTACTTGCTCATTAACAGAACAGAAGGAGGTGTTGTTTCGATGCCATGGACAGTTGGGCTTGAGTCGCTCCGTCCTCTATGACGAAGAGCCGTCAGGACTTCCTCATTCCAGCATTTTCTGATCTTCTTTTTCTTTATGGCATTGTAAAACACCTCCCCCGCTTTTTAGCTAATTTCTCTAATTACAGCTAAAGCTGTTTTCGATCTGCTTAGGTAAACAGTGAGCAGGGCTGACGGTCGGCTGCTCATGCTGACCCGGGGCTTCGAGCTTGCAACCTTTTGGTTGATAGATCTTATAGTTGCTGATGATTTACCAGGATAGAAAGATAGAGAGATAGAGAGATAGATAGACTCAAAGATAGATCAGATTGATTATTATGATTATGATTATTATTAGATAAACAGACAAACATAAAGATAGATAAGTAGGTAGGTAGGTAGGTAGGTAGATAGATAGATAGATAGATAGATAGATAGGGTAGGATAGACAGACTCAAAGACAGATAAGAATTATTATTATTATTATTATTATTATTATTATTATTAGATAAACAGATATAAATATAGATAGGCAAATAGATAGGTAGACAGAAAGATAGATAAGTAGATAGATAGACTCAAAGATAGATAAGATTTATTATTATTATTATTATTATTATTATTATTATTACTATTATTATTAGATAAACAGACACAGATATAAAGATAGATAGGCAAATAGATAGAAAGATAGGTAGGTAGACAGAAAGATAGATAGATAGATAGACTCAAAGATAGATAAGATTTATATTATTATTATTATTTCATAAACAGGCAAACAGATATAAAGATAGATAGGCAAATAGATAGATAGGTAGGTAGACAGAAATATAGATTGATAGACTCAAAAGATAGATAAGATTTATTATTATTATTAGATAAACAGACAAACATATAAAGATAGGTAAATAGATAGCGATAGATAGAAAGATAGATAGATAGACAGATAGACTCAGATAGATAAGATTGATTATTATTATTATTATTATTATTATTATTATTATTATTAGATAAACAGATAGATAGGAAGATAGATAGATAGACAGACTCAAAGATTGATTATTATTATTATTATTATTATTATTTGATAAACAAACATAAAGATAGGTAAATAGATAGATAGACAAAGATAGATAAGAATTATTATTATTTTTAGATAAACAGACAAACATAAATATAGATAGGCAAATAGATAGGTAGACAGAGAGATGGATGGATGGAGAAATGGATGGATAGATGGATGGATAGATTGATAGATGATAGATGAAGAGATGGATGGAGAGATAGAGAGGGGGATGGATGGATGGAGAGATGGATGGATAGATAGATAGATGGATAGATGGATGGATGGATAGATAGATGATAGATGAAGAGATGGATGGATAGAGAGGGGGATGGATGGATGGAGAGATAGATAGATAGATGGATAGATAGATAGACTCAAAGATTTATTATTATTATTATTATTATTATTATTATTATTAGATAAACAGACAAACATAAAGATAGATAGGTAAATAGATAGATAGATAGATAGATAGATAGATAGATAGACAGACTCAAAGATAGATAAGAATTATTATTATTATTATTAGATAAACAGACAAACAGATATAAATAGATGGATGGATGGAGAAATGGATAGATAGAGGGATGGATGGATGGAGAGATGGATGGATGGATAGACAGAGATGGAGATATGGATGGATGGATAGATGGATAGAGATAGATGCATAGATGGATAGATAGATAGATAGATAGATAGATAGATAGATAGAGAGATAGATAGATAGATAGATAGATAGATAGAGATAGATAGATAGATGGATGGATGGATGGATCAACAGATAGATGGATGGATGGGCGGATGGATAGATAAGATAGGAGAGATAGATAGATAGATAGATAGATAGATAGATAGATAGATAGATAGATGGGTTGTGAGCCAGTGTTGACTCGGGTTCAAAGCAGGAGGCGGTGTGGAAGGCCGAGAAGAAACCGGAAGAGGCGGGGGATTGGGCGGGATTGACAACTTCAGGGAAACAAGGAAGAGGGGAAGGCTCGGAAGGAAGGCCTAAAGCGGAAGAGGCGGGGAATTGGGCAGGATTGACAGCTTGAAGTAAACAAGGAAGAGAGGGAGACCCTGACTGGTAGGAAGGCCTAGAGCGGAAGAGGCGGGCGGTTTGGTGAGATTGACAGCTTCAGGTAAACAAGAGAGGGAGGCCCTGACTAGTAAGAAGGCCTAGAGCGGAAGAGGCGGGGAACTGGGCGAGATTGACAGGAAGCAGAGGAGGGATTGCGCGAACCTGATTGGAGGCGACAAGGAGAAGAAGCGGAAGTGGCCTAGAGCGGAAGGCCTAGTGCAGTAGGAAAGCCTAGAGCGGAAGAGGCGGGGGATTGGGCGAGATTGACAGCTTCAAGTAAAGAAAGAAGATGGGAAGGCCTTAACCGGAACGAAGGCCTAGAGCGGAGGAGGCGGGGAATTGGGCAGGATTGACAGCTTCAAGTAAAGAAAGAAGATGGGAAGGCCTAGAGCGGAAGAGGCGGGCGATTTGCTGAGATTGACAGCTTCAAGTAAACAAGAGAAGGAGGCCGTGACTAGTAAGGAAGGCCTAAAGCGGAAGAGGCGGGGAATTGGGCATGATTGACAGCTTCAAGTAAAGGAAGAAGATGGGAAGGCCTAGAGCGGAAGAGGCGGGCGATTTGCTGAGATTGACAGCTTCAAGTAAACAAGGAAGAGGGGAAGGCCTTGGCCGGAAGGAAGGCCCAGAGCGGAAGAGGCGCGGGATTGGGTAAGATTGACAGGAAGCTGAACCTGATTGGTGGAGCCAGGGAGAGTAAGCGGAAGTGGTGGCAGTGTCCAAGATGGCGTCCTCTGAGGGAGACGAGGAGGCGGCGGCGGAGTGGCGCGGCGGGGACGGCCGGGAGCTGTTCCTTCGCGGCGGGGTGGAGCTGGAGCGGAGCGTGAGGGAGGCAGGCGGGCGCCTCCCGGCGTGGGTAGGCCGTGCGGGGGCGTCGCTGCGCGGGCTGGAAGTGCGAGGCGGCTGCGCGGCGCTGAGGGAGCCCGGCCCGGCCTTGTCCCTCCTCTCGGGCCTACACGCCTTGTCCCTCCCAGACTGCGGCCTCGGCCCCGCCGGGCTCTCCTCTGCCGGCCGCCTCTTCCCGCCTTCCCTCCGCACCCTCGACCTCTCCGGCAACGCCCTCGAGGCGCTTCCGTCCGAGCTGGGCGGCCTGCTCCACCCCAACCCGCCCGGGGACAAGAAACCGCTCCTCCCGGCGCTGCGCCTCCTCAACCTGCGCCGCAACCGCCTCCAAGAGATGGGGCCCGGCCTGGGCCAACAAGCCCCGGCCCTCCAGGAGCTGCTCCTCGGCGGGAACCGGCTCACCGCCCTCCCCGGCGGGCTGCTCCCCTCCCATACGGCCGGGCCCGCCCCCTTCCCGCTCCTCAGCACCCTCGAGGCCGCCGGGAACGAGATCCAGCACCTCGGCCCCGACCTCGCCCGCCTCCCCGCCCTCAAGGTATTTACTTATTTTGTTGTGAAGCAGTGTGGAAGCTGCGAGTCTCCGCCACACTCTGCAGCAGAGAGTTCCACAGCTGAACAGCTCTCACAGCCAGGAAGTTCTTAGAATCCTAGAGTTGGGATGATGGCCCACCAGGACTGTGAGAGCTGTTCAGCAGTGGAACTCTCTGCTGCAGAGTGTGGTGGATGGTGGCCCACTAGGTCATCTGCCAGGGGTGCTTTGAAGACAATTGTCCTGCTTCTTGGAAAAACAGGGTTGGGCTGGATGATGGCCCACCGGGGACTGTGAGAGCTGTTCAGCAGTGGAACTCTCTGCTGCAGAGTGTGACGGAGGCTTTGAAGCAGAGGCTGGGCGGCCAGTGGGGTTGGGCTGAATGATGGCCCACCAGCTCTCTCCCCACTCTAGGATTCTAAGAACTTCCTGGCTGTGAGAGCTGTTCAGCAATGGAACTCTCTGCTGCAGAGTGTGGCAGAGGCTTTGAAGCAGAGGCTGGGCGGCCAGTGGGGTTGGGCTGGATGATGGCCCACAAGCTCTCTCCCCACTCTAGGATTCTAAGAACTTCCTGGCTGTGAGAGCTGTTCAGCAATGGAACTCTCTGCTGCAGAGTGTGGCAGAGGCTTTGAAGCAGAGGCTGGGCGGCCAGTGGGGTTGGGCTGGATGATGGCCCACAAGGTCTCTCCCCACTCTAGGATTCTAAGAACTTCCTGGCTGGGAGAGCTGTTCAGCAATGGAACTCTCTGCTGCAGAGTGTGGCAGAGGCTTTGAAGCAGAGGCTGGGCGGCCAGTGGGGTTGGGCTGGATGATGGCCCACAAGGTCTCTCCCCACTCTAGGATTCTAAGAACTTCCTGGCTGTGAGAGCTGTTCAGCAATGGAACTCTCTGCTGCAGAGTGTGGCAGAGGCTTTGAAGCAGAGGCTGGGCGGCCAGTGGGGTTGGGCTGGATGATGGCCCACAAGGTCTCTCCCCACTCTAGGATTCTAAGAACTTCCTGGCTGGGAGAGCTGTTCAGCAATGGAACTCTCTGCTGCAGAGTGTGGCAGAGGCTTTGAAGCAGAGGCTGGGCGGCCAGTGGGGTTGGGCTGGATGATGGCCCACAAGGTCTCTCCCCACTCTAGGATTCTAAGAACTTCCTGGCTGGGAGAGCTGTTCAGCAATGGAACTCTCTGCTGCAGAGTGTGGCAGAGGCTTTGAAGCAGAGGCTGGGCGGCCAGTGGGGTTGGGCTGGATGATGGCCCACAAGGTCTCTCCCCACTCTAGGATTCTAAGAACTTCCTGGCTGGGAGAGCTGTTCAGCAATGGAACTCTCTGCTGCAGAGTGTGGCAGAGGCTTTGAAGCAGAGGCTGGGCGGCCAGTGGGGTTGGGCTGGATGATGGCCCACCAGCTCTCCCCAACTCTAGGATTCTAAGAACTTCCTGGCTGGGAGAGCTGGATGATGGCCCATCAGGACTGGGAGAGCTGTTCAGCAGTGGAACTCTGCTGCAGAGTGTGATGGAGGCTTTGAAGCAGACGCTGGTGGGCCATCATCCAGCCCAACCCCACTGGCTGCCCAGTGCAATATGGCTGTGCAATATGGCCATGTTCCAGAAACATTCTCTCCTGACATTTCGCCTGCATCTATGGCAGGCATCCTCAGGGATTGGGAGGTCTGAGGGAAACTAGGAAAATTGGGTTTATATATCCTGGGTGGGCGAAAGAACTCTTGTCTGTTTGAGACAAGTATGAATGTTTCAATTGGCCAGAGGAGCCAGAAACTGCAACATTAGATAAGGAGTTGGGAGAGAATGCTTCTGGAACATGGCTAGACAGCCCGAAAAACCTACCACAACCCAATGATGAGTTTGGGGAACTGACTCACGCACCTGGGAATTGTAGTTCACCCTGCACCCAGAGCAAACTTCCCTTGCTCTTCTGTGCAGTACCAAGAAGAGAAGAGCAAGGGAGGAGAACGCCATGGGGGCAAATAAGAAATGGTGATGAGGGGAAACAAGGATCGGCTACATAGTCCTAGGGTAGACTTTGTGGAGGCCAAATATTAATGCTCCCCCCCCCCTCCAATATAGATCTTGGACGTGTCCGATAACAAACTCTCCGAGATCCCCGTGGAACTGGCCGACTGCCCCAAGCTGAAGGACGTCAACTTGAAAGGCAACGCCCTGAAGGACAAGCGGCTCGAGAAGATGGTGAACGGCTGCCAGACCAAGTCGGTCTTGGAGTACTTGCGTAAAGGGAAAGGGAAGCCGGACGGCGCGGAAAGGGAAGATCCGAGGAAGAAGAAGCGGGAGAGGAACAGGAAGAAGGCCGACGGCGACGAAGAGGTGGGCGAAACCCAGAAGCTGCTGCTGAAAGTCCTGCACATCGCCGAGAACCCGGCGCCACTCGTAGTCCAGGCCAGCCCCGGCGTCAAAGAAGTCCGGCCGTATATCGTGTGCTGTGTGGTGAAAGGCATGGACTTGAGCCCAGGAAACGCCTTGAAGAGGTTCCTTTCCGTTCAGGTAGGCCGATCATCTGCCTGGGGTGCTCTGGGGAGCTCTCCCAACCCAAGTTGTATGACATGGGTGAAGGAATAATAGTTGAGATGCTTAACAATTGAGGGTTTCTTTTTCAGACCAAGCTGCACGAGGACGTCTGTGAGAAACGGACAGTCGCCACCATTGCCACGCACGACTTGCGATTGGTGAAAGGCCCCCTCTTGTATGATGTTCGGCCACCAGACGATTTGAAGGTAACGTGTGATAGCAGGAAGCATCTCTTTAAGTACAGGTCACAAGGTGACAACTTGGGTTGTTGTAGATTTTTTGGGCTGTATGGCCATGTTGCAGTTATCTAATGTTGCAGTTTCTGGCTCCTCTGACCGACCTTGAAGCCTTGGACTTTGCAAGTCCGCATATTGCAAGGGGTGTGTAATATGGCCATGCTCCAGAAGCATTCTCTTCTGATGTTTCACCTGCATCTATAGCAGGCCACCTCAGAGGTTGTAAGGTCTCTTCGCCCAACTCCTTATCTAATGGTGCAGTTTCTGGCTCCTCTAACCAACCTTGAAGCCCTGCACTTTGCAAGTCAGCATATTGCAAGGGGTGTGCAATATGGCCATGTTCCAGAAGCATTCTCTCCTGATGTTTCACCTGCATCTACAGCAGGCATCCTCAGAGGTTGTAAGGTCTCCTCACCCAATTCACTATCTAATGTTGCAGTTTCTGGCTCATCTGACCGACCTTGAAGCCCTGCACTTTGCAAGTCAGCATAGTGCAAGGGGTATGCAATATGGCCACGTTTTAGAAGCATTCTCTCCTGATGTTTTGTCTGCATCTATGGCAAGCATCCTCAGAGGTTGTAAGGTCTCTTCACCCAGCTCCTTATCTAATGTTGCAGTTTCTGCACTTTGCAAGTCAGCATATTGCAAGGGGTGTGACCCTGGAGGGGGGGGGGTCATGAGGGGGTGTCAGAAGCGTCGCCAAAGACCATCAGAAAACACAGTATTTTCTGTTGGTCATGGGGGTTCTGTGTGGGAAGTTTGTCCCAATTCTATCGTTTGTGGGGTTCAGAATGCTCTTTGATTGTAGGTGAACTATACATCCCAGTAACTACAACTTCCAAATGTCAAGGTCTATTTCCCCCAAACTCCATCTGTGTTCATATTTGGGCATATGGAATATTCATGCCAAGTTTGGTCCAGATCGTTCATTGTTTGAGTCTACAGTGCTCTCTGGATGGACGTGAACTACAACTCCCAAACTCAAGGTCAATGCCCACCAAACCCTTCCAGTGTTTTCTGTTGGTCATGGGAGAACTATGTGCCAAGTTTCGGTCAATTCCATCATTGGTGGCGTTCAGAATGCTCTTTGATTGTAGGTGAACTATAAATCCCAGCAACTACAACTCCCCAATGACAAAATCATAATTTTTTGAGTAATGGTCACTCATTGGGTGGTTAGGTGTCTTGTGTCCAAATTTGGTGTGAATTCGCCCAGTGATTTTTGAGTTATGTTAATCCCACAAACGAACATAACATTTTTATTTATATAGATAACTAGCTGTACCTGCCATGCGTTGCTGTTGTCAACCTTCCCTCTCTCTCTCTCTCTCTCTCATTTCTTCCTACCCTTCCTTCCCTCCTCCTTTTCTGCCGTCCCTCTTTTTCTTTCCCTTTTTCTTTCTTCCTTCTCTACCTGTTTCTTTTCTTACTTCCTTTGCTCTTTGGTACCATCCTTCCTTCTCTCCTTCCTTCCCTCCCTCGTTCTCTCTTTCGTTCCTTCTCTCCTTCCTTCCCTCTCTCACTTTTTTATTACCTTCTCTCCTTCCTTCCTTCTCTACCTTTCTTTATTTCCTTCTCTCCTTCCCTCCTTCTTTCCCTCCTTCGCTCCTTCCTTCTCTACCCTTCTTTCTTTCCTTCCTTCTCTCCTTCCCTCTTTCTCTCACTCCTTCTCTCCTTCCTTCCTTCTCTACCCTTCTTTCTTTCCTTCTTCATCTCCTTCCTTCCTTTTTCCCTCTTTCTCTCCTTCCTTCCTTCTCTATCCTTCTTTATCTCCTTCCCTCTTTCTCTCCCTCCTTCTCTCCTTCCTTCCTTCTTTTATGTGTGCATATGCATATATGTTATGTATATATGTGTGTTTGTGTGTGTATATATATGTGTGGTTTTGTGCATGTGTTGTAATGTATTTTTGTTTTTCTGGCTTTTAAAGTCCCTTCTGCTGTGTTTATCAGTGTTTTTGTGAGTGATGGTCACTCGTTGGCCTGAGAGGTGTCTTGTGTCCAAATTTGGTGTCAATTCGTCCAGTGGTTTTTGAGTTATGTTAATCCCACAAACTAACATTACATTTTTATTTATATAAGACTAGCCGTCCCCTGCCACGCGTTGCTGTGGCCCACATGGGGGTTCTGTGTGGGAGGTTTAGCCCAATTCTATCATTGGTGGGGTTCAGAATGCTCTGTGATTGTAGGTGAACTATAAATCCCAGCAACTACAACTCCCAAATGTCAAAATTCTATTTTCCCCAAACTCCACCAGTGTTCACATTTGGGCATATTGAGTATTCGTGTAGAGTTTGGTCCAGATCCATCATTGTTTGAGTCCACAGTGATCTCTGGATGTAGGTGAACTACATCTCCAAAACCAAAGGACACAGCTCAAACCCTTCCAGTATTTTCTGTTGGTCATGGGAGAACTGTGTGCCAAGTTTGGTTCAATTCCATCATTGGTGGGGTTCAGAATGCTCTTTGATTGTAGGTGAACTATAAATCCCAGCAACTACAACTCCCAAATGACAAAATCAATTTTTTTTTAGTGAAGGACATACATTGGGTTGTTAGGTGTCTTGTGTCCAAATTTGGTGTCAATTCCCCCAGTGGTTTTTGAGTTCTGTTAGTCCCACAAACAAACATAACATTTTTATTTATATAGATAACTAGCTGTACCTGCCATGCGTTGCTGTTGTCAACCTTCCCTCCCTCTTTCTCTCCTTTTTTCCTACCCGTCCTTCCCTCTTTCTTTCCTGCCTTCCCTCTTTTTCTTTCCCTTCTTCTTCCTTCCTTCTCTACCTATTTCTTTTCTCACTTCCTTTGCTCTTTGGTACCATCCTTCCTTCTCTTCTTCCTTCCTTCTTTCCTTCCTTCCTTCCTTATTTCATTCTCTCCCTCCTTTTCTCCTTCCTTCTTTCTCTACCCTTCTGTCTTTCCTTCTTTATCTCCTTCCCTCCTTCTCTACCCTTCTTTTTTTCCTTCCTTCTCTCCTTCCCTCTTTATCTCCCTCCTTCTCTCCTTCCTTCCTTCTCTACCCTTCTTTCTTTCCTTCCTTCTCTCCTTCCCTCCTTCTTTCCCTCCTTCTCTCCTTCCTTCTCTACCCTTCTTTCTTTCTCTCCTTCCCTCCTTCTTTCCCTCCTTCTCTCCTTCCTTCCTTCTCTACCCTTCTTTCTTTCCTTCTTCATCTCCTTCCTTCCTTTTTCCCTCCTTCTCTCCTTCCTTCTTCTCATCCTTTCTTCTTTCCTTCTTCTCTCCTCCTTTTCCCTCCTTCTCTCCCTTCCTCCTTCTCTACCCTTCTTTCTTTCTTCCTTATCTCCTTCCCTCTTTCTCTCCTTCTTCTTCTTTCCTTTCTTCTCTACCTTCTTTCCTTTCCTTCTCCTTCCTCTTTCTCTCTCCTTCTCTTCCTTCCTTCTCCCTTTTCTTCCTTCTCCTTCCTCTTTTCCCTCCTTCTCTCCTTCCTTCCTTCTCTACCCTTCTTTCTTTCCTTCTTCATCTCCTTCCTTCCTTTTTCCCTCCTTCTCTCCTTCCTCTTCTCTACCCTTCTTTCTTTTCTTCTTTATCTCCTTCCTCTTTCTCTCCTCCTTCTCTCCTTCCTTCCTTCTCTATCCTTTTTTTCCTTCCTTCTCTCCTTCCTTCTTTCTCTCACTCCTCTCCTTCCTTCGCCTAGAGCATTCTCGGATGGAGGGCGATTAATAAGTAATTAAAGATGATGATGATGATGAAAAGCAGTTTTCCTTTTCCTTTCCTCGGTTCCTTCCCAGGAGAACCTAAAAGAAGTGCCAGTCGTTTCTCTGCCAATTCTGGACTATTTGAATGCCAGGTCGGGAAATGACACCGATGCCAAAAAGTGTCTTGCCTCCTGAGGTGGCACGGGCATTTTTCGTTCTCCGCAAAATTATCCCTGACTTCTCCAGAGATCATATCCAAACCCATGATTTCGACCTCCAATCCTACCCATATGTGTGTTTCAGATCACTCCCTTGGGCCGGAAAGAAGTGAAGGCGAAAGACCTCCTCCGGCAGCTACAGTCCGAAGCTGAGGAGCAGCGGAAACAAAAGAAGAGGCAGAACATCTCCGGATTGCACAGGTCCGTGCTCCCCTTCGGGCAGGTCTTGGGCCTTGAGGCACTTCCTTGGGGGAGAAAGGGGGGACCACAGGCAAGGCCTTTGCCATCTGCGGCTCCAGTATCGCCAAGGCAGAAAGGCATCATTAGGCTTGTTTAGGTTCGGTTCGTAAAAAACCTTTTTGTTTGAATTCTTCTTTGGTGATTTCTCCCTTTTTCCACTTCTTGTGCATGTCTCTTTTGTGTTTTAGCACAGTTAGAAGTTCTTTGGACATCCATTCTGGCAGGGATTGAACCCACGGACCTATGCTTATGAGGCCGACACGCTCTCCTTGAACCACGCTAGCCCTGTAGTAAAACCAAGTCAGAACTTATACTTCAGTGGGAAGCCAGTTCTTCTTTTTCCTGTAGTGGGGTCAGTCTAGCCCTGATTATCCCAAAACTTGAAGACATCCCTTCCTTTATCCATCCCTTTAGAGTCCCCTAGGATTGCTGCTAAGGTACTTTGGGAAACTACGTCTCTCGTGTATATAAAATTGCCTCAAAAGCTTCACATGTCTTCTGTTGTTTCATTGTCTTGTGCCCCCGAGACCCCATTCCCTTCCCTTGTTCTTGATCCCAAAGAAGGGGGTCAGTCTAGATGTCCCTTGATGGGGTCTTCTCTGTATATGATTTCCGTTCTCCCCCAGATTAACACAGTTTCTGGAGTAGAACAACTACTTTCAAAGGAAAAACCACACAAAGAAACAGGAAAAACACTTTCGAAATTCAAACCAGGAACATATTTCCTTTATTTCCCATTGTGATCCCTGTGAATCGCACATATGGTTGTTTCTGCGCCTGAGCAGACAGCATCAGAACCTTCTAGATAGATTTGAAAAACTTTGGCGGTTGGCCCCGCCCACTCTCCCCTTGCAAGTATAAGTAGCCACTGCCTCAGTTCTTTTTATCCGCCGCTTATGCAGCACTGTAGCAAGTTTCATCACAATTGGTCTAAAAATGAGAGAGGGACAATCCCCTGAAGTTTCCCCAAGGGAGGAGATTGCACTGCCTGGGGGAATCCTTTGTTGAGAGGTGTTAGATGGCCTCGATTGTTGTTGTTTATTCATTCAGTTGCTTCCCACTCTTCATGGACCAACCCAATCCAGATGATCCTTTAGTGACTGAGATTGCTTGGAGGAGATTGCACTGCCTGGGGGAATCCTTTGTTGAGAGGTGTTAGATGGCCTCGATTGTTGTTGTTTATTCATTCAGTCGCTTCCCACTCTTCATGGACCAACCCAATCCAGATGATCCTTTAGTGACTGAGATTGCTCGGTTGAGATTGCACTGCCTGGGGGAATCCTTTGTTGAGAGGTGTTAGATGGCCTCGATTGTTGTTGTTTATTCATTCAGTCGCTTCCCACTCTTCGTGGACCTACACAATCCAGATGATCCTTTAGTGACTGAGATTGCTTGGAGGAGATTGCACTGCCTGGGGGAATCCTTTGTTGAGAGGTGTTAGATGGCCTTGATTGTTGTTGTTTATTCATTCAGTTGCTTCCCACTCTTCATGGACCAACCCAATCCAGATGATCCTTTAGTGACTGAGATTGCTTGGAGGAGATTGCACTGCCTGGGGGAATCCTTTGTTGAGAGGTGTTAGATGGCCTTGATTGTTGTTGTTTATTCATTCAGTTGCTTCCCACTCTTCATGGACCAACCCAATCCAGATGATCCTTTAGTGACTGAGATTGCTTGGAGGAGATTGCACTGCCTGGGGGAATCCTTTGTTGAGAGGTGTTAGATGGCCTCGATTGTTGTTGTTTATTCATTCAGTTGCTTCCCACTCTTCATGGACCAACCCAATCCAGATGATCCTTTAGTGACTGAGATTGCTCGGTTGAGATTGCACTGCCTGGGGGAATCCTTTGTTGGGAGGTGTTAGATGGCCTTGATTGTTGTTGTTTATTCATTCAGTCGCTTCCCACTCTTCATGGACCAACCCAATCCAGATGATCCTTTAGTGACTGAGATTGCTCGGTTGAGATTGCACTGCCTGGGGGAATCCTTTGTTGGGAGGTGTTAGATGGCCTTGATTGTTGTTGTTTATTCATTCAGTCGCTTCCCACTCTTCATGGACCAACCCAATCCAAATTATCCTTTAGTGTCTGAGATTGCTCGGTTGAGATTGCACTGCCTGGGGGAATCCTTTGTTGGGAGGTGTTAGATGGCCTTGATTGTTGTTGTTTATTCATTCAGTCGCTTCCCACTCTTCGTGGACCAACACAGTCCAGATGATCCTTTAGTGACTGAGATTGCTTGGAGGAGATTGCACTGCCTGGGGGAATCCTTTGTTGGGAGGTGTTAGATGGCCTCGATTGTTGTTGTTTATTCATTCAGTCACTTCCCACTCTTTGTGGACCAGCCCACGCCTGAGCTGGCAAATCCAAGGCTGGAGTTAAAATTGCTGGAAGAAACATTAACAACCTTAGATATGCAGATGATACCACTTTGATGGCCCTGATTAGGTAAAGGTAGAGGTTTTCCCCTGCTGAAGAGCTGCCGTTGTCTGTAGACACCTCCAAGGTCATGTGGCCAGTATGGATTGCCAGAGCGGTTCCTATTGATCTACTCACATTTGCATGTTTTCGAACTGATAGGTTGGCAGAAGCTGGGGCTAACAGCGGGAGCTCACGCTGCTCCTCGGATTTGAACCTTACATGGATTTTGCTGACCTCCAGGCAGATAGTTTGGCTGCCATCCCTTTGGTTTCAGAATGGTTAATGCTCAACTTCTCTTGATCACAAATCCTACCTAGTGTCCTCAAGAGTCTCCTATTTGTGTAGAGGGCCATATCGTCGGCATATAATAAGATTTGAATTCATGGGAATGTAGAAGGTTTCAAAGACAAATGAGGGCCCCTATCCCTAGGCTGTATCTGATCCTCCCCATTGGCTTTGCTTCTCTCACTGCCCAGGTATCTTCAGCTACTCAACGGGAAGGAAAACTACCCTTGCCTTGTGGACGCCGAAGGTGCCGTGATTTCTTTTCCGCCAATCACAAACAGCGAGAAGACCAAGGTACCACAAAGTTTGCAAACTTGGCATTCTGGCCACTTGAAGAAGGGAAAAGGGAGAAGGTCCTCCATTGTGTACATGGCAGGGCTCAGGTTGCATTGCACTAGGTGGTCTGTGGTTTGCTCTTCTCCGCACTCGCGTGTGGTGGACTCCACTTTGTGGCCCCATTTCTGAAGGTTGGTGTAGCGAGAGAGAGAGAGTCTATTTATTTAAGAAAAACCTCTTTACTCTTATAAAGATTCAGTTTCTTCTTTTATATTAGCTGGGACTTTCTGTACAGGCACTGAGGCACACTTCTGTATAACAAAGTAACACAGTTTATTTATAACTTCTGGCTCCAACGTTTGTGGTTACATTTGGGTTTTGTTGCAATCTTGAGGTTTACAGTCAGTATAATGTACTTGGTTTACTTTTCTGAAATAGACTTTCAATGTTTCACATTCACAAACATGTTACTTGCTTTACACACTCTTGACTGAAATTATTTTCTGACTAAAGCACTTTCTTTATGTTCCTTAAAACTTAAGCTCTATTTATCTAACTGCTTCAATATATCAGAAGTCTTTAACACATCTTCATAACTGCTTATTTCTAACAGGAGTTCCTAACTCTTTTCTCTTGCAGAAGTTCCTAACTGTCTCTCACAAACAGGAATCCCTAACTCATCTCACAAACAGCAATTCCTAAGTCACTCTTTTGACTCCCTAACTGCCTATTTTTAAACTTTGGCTCCGCCCCTTTGGAATGTTTAGCTCTGCTCTTCTTAACTGTCATTTTGGCCTAGCAACCTGTTCAATTCCTGGGCCTATGCTAATCTGCATATGATCAATCGGCTTCCATATGCAAATTAATCCTATCTCTGCTGTTGCTACCCTGTCTGTGCCTATTCTTCCCTATCTGCCATATGTAAACATAGAGCTATACACCAAAAATTTAACTTAGAGTAGCAATTTTGCTACAGTTGGCTCTGCATCTCATGGTGCCTGAATGCAGTCTGTTCAGCCATTGATTGAGATTCTGAGTCTTCGCCTGCCACTTTTGGACTCTTGCTTGCTGAAGTGTTCATGCGAGTGTCTCTGTCAATCTTAGAAAACTATTTCTTCATTTCTTGGCTGATATCCGAACGGGATGGGCCGGAGATGTCACTGCCTTGGTCTTTTTGCTATTGGCTGCTACCCAGGGGATGCCCGGATGTGTTGCGATCCTGCGGGGAGGCTTCTCTCATGTCCGGATCTGTTTGGACATCAGCCGGCATGTTAACGCCATAAATCAAGAAACAGCTTCCTAAGATTTACAGCAATGGTTCTTAACCTGCGGGCTGTGGACCACGAGTGGGCCGTGAGGACGAAAATATGGTTCTCGAGCCTCTTTATTTATATTACTAGCTGTACCCGCCACGTGTTGCTGTGGCCAACCTTCCCTCCCTCTTTCTCTCCTTCCTTCCCTCTTTCCTTTCTGGCATGACTTGTTTTTGATAAATCCACGTTGACTATTAGCGATGACCGCATTTGTTTCTAAGTGTTTGGAGACCCCTTCCTTAACAATCTTTTCCAGAATCTTGCCTGGTATCGACATGAGGCTGACCGGACGGTAGTTGTTTGGGTCATCCTTTTTTCCCTTCTTGAAGATTGGGACCACACTGGCCCTCCTCCAATCTGCTGGAACTTCTCCTGTTCTCCAGGAACTCTCAAAGATGGTTGCCAATGGTTCCTTCCTTCCTTACTTACTTCCCTATCTTTTGTTCCTTCTCTCCTTCCTTCCCTCTCTTTTTCCTTTCACTTTTTTATTTCCTTCTCTCCTCCCTTGCTTCTCTATCTTTCTTTCTTTCCTTCTTTCCCTCCCTGCTTCTCTCCTTCCTTCCCTTTTTCCCTCCTTCTCTCGTTACTTCTTGACTGTCCCTTCCATTTAATATTGTATTTATATCTTAGAAAGAAGGAAAGGAAGAAGGAAGGAAGGAGGGACAGGAAGGAAGGAAAAGAAAGAAGGAGGGACAGGAAGGGAGGGAGGGAGGGAGAAAGGAGGGAAATAAAGGAGGGGAATGAAGAAAGGAGGGAGGGAAGGAAATGAAGGTTGGCTCTGCATCTCATGGTGCCAGAGCGCAGTCTGTTCAGTGCCTTCCAAGTCGCCCAGTCTTCTATGTCCCCAGGGGGGAGTCTCTCATTTGATATCTGTTCTGTCATGCGTTGGGCCTGTAAAGAATTTCCTTTAGAACAGGACATGCAACCTTTGCCCAGCAGGAAGCCAGGGGGCCCAAAGAAAAGTTCTCAGAGGTTTTCCACCACAAATAGTCTTTAGATGGCTTGTGAAGTATAACAAAGTCTTTTATTATGAACAATCAAACAGAAACTCTTGTCTTCAGAAAGTTAAACAAATGATTCCAGGCTATTATGCAACTGGTAGCTTCCTAAACTTGCCCACGAAGGACAGGCAACTGTCTTCAATAACTTTTTCTTTAAAGGAAAATCCCCTTTTTAACTTCTCCCAGGCTGACTGTAATCTAACCCTTACTGATGTGGGCTCCGCTACCGGGTCGAACTGCATCTCGAACGCCGAGTGGACCTACCAATAAGGCAGTAGACTCTCCAGCTAGAGTTCTTTGGTCTTTAGGGCTGTTTTCCTGGAAATCTTTGAATGATCTTAAGACTGTTTTCCCCCAGAAAGTCATAATGCTCTTAAAACTGTTTCCCCCCCGGAAAGTCTTGGATGCTCTTAAGACTGTTTCCCCCTCGGAAAGTCTTAAGGGTTGAAGATTTTGTACAGGGGAAGCTTGCACATGTCCTGTACATTAGCTTTCCTTGCTGAGACTAACTAAAAATGGCTCCCTTCCCTTCCCAATTGCCCTGAGCAAGGGGTGGGACCAAAACTTAACGATGATGGACAGGTGACTTGCCCTATGACTGCAACCGAAGGAAGCCACCTATCTGCAGAGTGCCTGAAACCTAGGACTGCAAACAAACATTTAATACAAAGCAAATAAAGTTGGAGCTCCTGGTACAACCGTACCAGCACAGTATCAGCCATGGATTGAGGTTCTGGATTTGAGCTGCCACTTTTGGACTCTCGCTTGCTGAGGTGTTCCAGCTAGTGTCTCTGTAGATCACCCCTTTGGGGTGTGAAGGGTGGTATATAAATGTTTTAAATAAATAAATAATAAATACACTGGTAATATAAATCAGTTTCAAGCTGCATTATATACAGCAATGCAGATCTATCCAACCTTAGGCACTCCGCGCAAACAGCCAGAGAAACATCCCCTTGGATGCATACTGCCAATCCATATAAAAGACTCTCTTTTTATATTGCATCCGCGTAGTATGTTGTCTTTGAGTCATTAAAATGGTCATGAAAGAGGCCATTAACACATACCCCATATGCTGGCGTGCCGATTTCCCATTAACTACAGTATATCATCCTTCAGGATCAAAAACAGAGTTATTAAGCCGCCGTAAAACAGAACAATAATAACCCACAAGTACATTTTCAGTTCCAATGATAGGGTTTTACGGCAGAGCGAGAGATCAATACAGCTCGGTGTCAAAGCCTCTTTTTGCATTTTGTCAGATTGTATTCAAAAAGGTAAGCCAGAAACAATTAAGCTTCCTTTTGCCAGCCTCGGAGAAGTAAATACAAACGCGCCACCCTTCAAATCGAGAGATCTGAGCACAAAAGATCAGCAGCAAACCCGAGTCAGAGCTGATTTGGGCGGCTGATGTGATCCTTGCTTTCTCTTCCCCGTATTCAGATTTCAATTAAATTAAGGCAGATTATTCAGCAAAGAAAAGCAGACGGAATAGAGCCTCGGCTGATGATTGGAAATGTGCATGTAAATATCTTGCTTTCCAGCTCGCAGCGTTTCAATGAGCCGGCGACGTTATCGTAAGAAATATGTACATAAGTAAATATATGCCCGACTGCAGGTATCTATTTATCTGTATCTGTCTGTTGATCAATAGCGTGCCAAGGCAGAGAGAGAAAGCCCCCCAAAAAAGGAGAGATGCATTCCAGAATCAATTCAAATAACTGATCCCTAACTGAATTATTTAACTTTTCTATCAACGGATGGCTTTCTTTGCTCTTTTTTTTTTTTTTACAAAAAAACTTGCTTAAAATGTTGTTTTTTTTCTGAAGTTCTCCCATTTCGTCTGTCGTAGAAATCAGTGCTTTGGCATTCTCGCCAATGTGAATTTTAACAAGGAGAAGAAACCCACACAACGGCATCAGACCGTTCAACATGTTGCAAAAATGAGGTTTTCGTACCGAGTTTTTTGAATGTCAACCAAACTGCACAGAAATCTAAACTAAGTTCCTTTAAGTCAGGTATGGGCCCCTTGGGCTCTTTTCTCAGGCCCTTCTCTCTATCCTTTCTTCCATTTTTCCTTCCCTCCATCCCTTACCTCCCTCTTTCTCTCTCCTTCCCTTCCATTCACTCGTCCTTCTTTCGCACCCTTTTCTCCTCCCTCCCTCCCTCCCTTCCTCCCTCCCTCCCTTCCCTCCCTCTTACTCCCTCTTTCCCTTCCATCCTTTCATCCTTCTTTACTTCCCTCCCTTTTCTCTTTCTTTCCTTATTCCCTCCCTCCCTCACTTCCCTCTTTCTCCTTCCTTCCCTTTCACCCTATCGTCCTTCCTTCCTTCCTTCCTTCCTTCCTTCCTTCCTTCCTTCCTTCCTTCCTTCCTTCCATCTT